GCTGAGTTATGAAGTACATTTACTAACAATTTTTTTTTTCCCCTCTAGATTTATATGGGGGAAAAATGAGAAATAACAGCTACCTTTAGTGCATTGGTTTTTAAAATGGCCTTGCCGTTCTCTGTAATTCAGAGAATGGAAACCAGGGCCTTTATCTCTGAACCCTTGATTTTTAATTGGAAGGGGTTGGAGGAAAAACCATTTGCCCTTTTTACCTCATTTCCATCCCTACTTCAAGAGAAGGCTTCAGTACCTAGCACAAATCTTTTCTCGCTTGATGTAAGAGAACATGATATGCCCACTGTTGTGGTACTTCAGCTTTTTTTTTTCCTTCCTATCCCACAGAAATACTTTCATGGCTTACATTTCATATCTGCGTTCCAATTTATATCACAGTCACTTCAATATGTGTTCCAGTCACAGACTCAAAGAAAATAGGTCATCCAACAGATCGCTTTGGTCACATATCTGTCAAACCTGTTTTAGATGGTCTTTAGTAACAGATGCCTTTACCTCCCACAACTATCTATGCCAGCGCCAATCCACCTGCACAATCAGAAAAATATATATAACCCAAATCTCTCTTGTTTCCATTAAGTGCAGGACTTCTTCAAAATATTTTTTTTTTAGAAGCCTTTGTTTTGTTTTAAGAACACAATCATATTTCTTTTCCATCTTATCTTTTTAAACAAAACAAGCCTGTTGTTAGGCTTGTTTTTAATATTACCCAAAGTGATTTTTCTAAGACAATGAGACAAGTTTCTCCCCTAATCTTCCTTTCTTAGTATAAAGTTGCTTTAATGAGTCTTTATCTCAGAAAGGAAGTGCTCAAATTACCTACAGGCAATCCACCTGCCAAGGAGAATCCTCTTTCTCTATTTGCCCCAGCTGAAATCTCATCTCTTCCAGGAAGCTTTTGAGCAGTAGCAGTCTTCATTTTTTTGTTATACCTTTCTCATTAGGGATAAGAATAATTCCACTTATGAGCAACATAAAGGCCATCAAGTGTCTTTCCCAGCTTTTCACCCCTCTGTCCCAAGAGTAATATAGAGTTACTCTTTGTCCCAAAAGGAAGTTACTGCATTCTTTCCCGCTTTGCTCATGAGTATTTTTTCAGCCATATTTCATATTTAATGACATCCTTTTACTCTCGGGAATGCCGGGAGTGATAAAGAGTTGCCAATTCGCACGGGCTCCCGCATCCCAAGTGCTAGTGATGCCTCCAGGCACAGAGGAGCCTTGGTGGCCTTTGCCTTGTTTGCTGGGGAGAGGCATTTTGGGCGCTGCAGGGGCTGCACTTACTGGATGCTGTGCGCTTCACGCACGACACGGACTCAGATTTCTTCGGCTGGCTATTTAAAGTTCTCCCTTTTCCTGTGATCCCATTAGCAGCTGCAGGAGGTTTCTTGCCTCTAACCTGTTGGAAAACAAAGTACAAATAGGATCCGGTTATTACTGTACCACTGGCATTACAGTCACCCTTTCATCAAGGGCAAAGCTTGACAGCAGGATGTAAAGCTGCCTGCTTACAGAAGCCTTTTAATAGACTTAATTGATTCAGCTGGAGACAGTGTTTCCTCCAGAGCCCCATCACTGAGCTCTGCCGCTGCTGTCCTGCGAGCTCCAGGAGCAGCAACCACCAGGACTGTTTCCTACCTGCTGTGAGACTTTTACATCACTGTGCTACAGGGATTTTTGCTCAGAATAATCCAGTTAGCACATATTTTTTAAAAAAATATTAGGCTAATATGCCCATTTCCTTTTACGCAATCTTTAGTTAATGATCATTACTATTATATTTTACTTAAAAAGGGCATACACTCCCAAAGGCCAAAGAAGCTCCCAAGATTGCCAGAAACTGCTCATTTCATATGCCATTAGAGTGCACCCCTGCTACAAACGGAACCCAGCAGAGAAACAGTGTGCTTAAATTATTTGGGGGAAGAAAATAGCAAACAGTTATTTAAATACAGTATATATACAGTTATATATTATAGAATATACTTTACATGAATTCATACATTATATAGGTAACTACTGTAAATATAATGAGCAATTAGTCATTCTAGAGATGCTTTTTTTTTCTTCTGAAGTCATCCCCATGCCTAAGGAGAAAGCAGAACACTAGCCACATGTGTTCTTTTGCGTTCTTTTGCTATTTTCTACACTACGTAAATCACCATGAGTCCTTGGAAAAGGTCTTTACATACCCAGAGGAGACAGTGCTTTCACATCAGCAGCTACACTGAGCAAAACTGCTCCATTTGCAGTGGCTCATGACCAAATTCCTAACACGATAAGACTAACTGAAATAGTCCAAGGTCTTTAAAATAACAATGAATACACATAACAGCCAAAAATAAGCAGCTTTGTTAAGTATTAAACAGTACAGTACCTGCGATACAGATCCCCTCCCCACAGCAGAGGTATTAGTGACAGACTGAGCAGAAGACAGATTGGAGGAGACAGGGTGTTTGTAATGGTTAGAGGAGAGTTTGTCAGCAGATAACCTAGCGGCTTTTCTCTCAGATGATGGATAGCGTGCAAAGATTTTTGGAGATGGCAAGTTATCGTACAGGCCTGCGTTATCATAAAGCATTTCTTCTCCAATATTCCTGCTACGGGAAGTAGGAAAGCCATCTTCTGGTTCCCACTGCAACACACACACTTTGGCAGTTAGTAAACAGGACACCATGCAGAACCCAAGTGACATTAAAACATTAGCAAAGCTTCTGTGACCAAAAAAGCCCTTTATGTTTATCAAGAATAGCATTATTGCTTACCCTTGAGTTAGGCTACCAAGAAAAAAAGTGCAGGGGGACACAGCATGGAAAGGCAGCCCAGTATAATGTGTCTCATAACCTCTGTCCTTTTCTCTTATATGAGCAAGCTGGTATTATCCTACCCCCTTAATACTTAATAGATTGTATTTTCAATTGGTAACTCCAATGCTGAAAGGGCACACAAAGAAATGTCACACCATTTCTCGAAGCAGGTAGTGGGATTCTCGTGGGCTATGCAGATGAACCTGCAGGATTACATCTGGTACACGGTTTGTTAAAAATAATATAGCCTAACAGCAAAAGCCAAGGGTGTTTTTTCTTGTTTGGATTTTGTTTTCTTCAGGCTATATGTCTTTCCAGCTCCTGGTATGCTAGTATTACATTTTATTTGCTGGAAATTTATTATTCTGAGCTATCTATCTAAAATAGCTACAGGCCATTTCCTCTTTTTTTTTTTTTTCTTCAGAAAAATGGAAAGCTCAACAACAATACCCCAGTGATTCATTCAATTAATCTTAAAAGAAACCATGAGTCTGGCTGCCAAATATCCTTCCTTAATCCATCCTGGCTGTGGCAGTATACTTCTCCTATGAAGGCTTATAAGCGCATCCAAGTACTGCAGACCCAGACTGCTCACCACACATGCTGTTGTGTGTTGTTCCCCAGAGAGGCTTTTCTACCATCTTTCTGACATTATTATGACATGGCTGAGGACTGTGCCTGAAGTGTGCTTAAGACTTCAAATTTCTGTGAATTTCCCCAAGAGTTCAGCCTTCGTGAGGGCCTTTAGGAAGCAGCCCAATTTGAGAGTTGACATGAGCCATAGCTCTCTTCCAAATCCTCTTAGGGACCACATACTACTATGGGTTAATATCAATTATGTGTTAAAGCTTATTATACATCTGTCTAAGATCAGCGCTACAAATTGTGAGGATGGAAATGACCCCTGCAATCCTCCTTTGGGAAAAGCGCTACGTGCTGTCAAAAGCCATACAGCCCTGGGACAGAAAGTCTTTCTTTCAATGGACAAGTGTCTCGGGTAACTGAGTCCTTAACTTTTCCAGGTCTGGTGTGATCTAAAAAAATACCCCTCAAGTCAGTATTATATTCAAGGACTTGGCAACAAATCAGCAGCAGGCAGCTGCTTTCTAAACACATGTTGGCTCTTGTGCAGGTTAATGTACACAACATGTCCCCCACCCCTAATACTCTGTAGGTGTGAGAGAAGTTTGCAGTTCCCAATCAAAAAAATAAAGAGTTCATTTGGAAACTGCCCAGTGGTGCTTTTTAGATAATATAATTTTCAGATGGCCATGCATTCAACACATGCAAACCATTTGTCCCGTGCAAATTAAATTCTTACCGATCCATTTATGCAGGGAACATCATCGTAATGAAGTGCCATTCCACTTGGACATGCGTAGCCGTTGGCAGTGCTTCCCCGATACGGATTTGTAGATATGACTCGCCTGTTCATAAAACTGAATAAAGCAAAATAAAAAATAATAAAAAACAGCTCTCGAACCTAAGTCCACACAATGATTCAGTGATTTGCTCCCTGTAACTGATTATGTAGCCTGGAAGCACAGGATCTTCTCACTTTCTGCAGGAAAGCTCAGGATACTTTTCCCTCCCTCCTTTGCTACTCGCGCGCTGCTGCTAGCAGCACCACGTGCTATCAAGACACATGTTTCTGTATTGTATTCCGACAGCGTGCGTAAGACTGCGAAAAAGCCTGGCTGGCAACATCTGTAACTACTCATCTGTAACTACTATTTACAGGGGAACCTGCTGATCTAAGTTACAAGCCAGCCTGGCAGTGTCCCGTAAAAGCTTCCTTGTCTTCTGCACCAGGCAGGTGTCTTTCTTAGTGCATGCATGCCCGGGGGGGATGTGCGCTTGGGAAGCTGGAGATGCCGTAATCAAATCCCGCAAAGGCTGAAGGAAAGCAGGACTTTTAAACGAAATTAACAAGTCCATTAAAATCTGCTGCATATTTTATGCTCCAAATTCTGCTGATTTTTTCACTTTCATAACAGAACCTTTTGCTGGGTGGAGTATGAACAATGATGCAAACATTGTGTTCCTGCAATTACTTTATATGCACATTCTGGTTATGCAGAGTGCATCCAAGCCATCTGAAAACTTTGCCAGGGATATATATTGTTGTTTATTTATTTACCCAAGCCCTTTTATTGGAATTCTGCAGAATTCTGCAAAATGTCACCAACTACAAGAGGGTTTCTGTTGGGAGCAAAGTAGAAAGCAGCTGCAGAATCAGGCCAATAGCAATAATGACCCTAAGGGCAAGCTTTCATTTCAAGCAGCCTCTCAAACAGGGGGAGGTACACAGCAATATCCCTGCAATTCCTATAGATGCAGGTACACATGAAAGGAAAAACAAAGACTTCCACCCCAGACAATGGAACTATTCAGGCTCTGTGCTGACATTCATAAAATACGATAAAGCCCTCCTAGAGCAGAGTGGGCTGTCTGTAGCGCTGGCCAGAAGTCAAGAATTCTGTGGTTTCGACATGAGCTTTCTCTTGGCATTGGGATAATATTGAGCCCATTGAATTTCTTGTGCAGAGGGAGCCAGGCCTCATCCATCTGCTGCTCACCTGAGCCGCGGGGGACATGGGCTCACAGGAGGGATGAGCCTGCCCAGGTCACTGTGAGCCCTTCTTGGCTGCCACATCCCAGGTGGATGCACTGGGATAGGGGTCTGGAATAAGCATTAGACTGAAGATTTTTTTTTACCATCTTAAAACAGACAAGGAAACAAACCACTAAAAGTCTAGGAGAGATAAAAATGTTTTTAACTTTACCATATCTCATACTTCATGATACATTACAAAAGGGCTGCTCCTCCTAGTGAAGAACACTAACAGGTTTCTGGCTAGTGTGAAGGACTATATTTGCAGATGTAATCATGTGTTTTTTTATTTAAATAGCTTTAGCAAGTGTGATGTGTGATAAATGTCTGAAAGAAGAGCTTCACTAATGACATGTGATGCACCTGCTGTAACTATTTCCACTGCCAAAAGAAGCAAACATTTAACCTGTATCTGCAAACACTGAACATTATTTCACTATGCCTCATAAGCCCTGTTTGCAGATACATCCATGTAAGTTAGCTAGCTATATTCTAAACCTGCAAAAACAGAGAGAAAAAATAAAGTTACAAAACATTTTTCCTCCCATCTTCCTTAGATAGCTAGTGATTTGCATAAAGGAAACTAACAACAAGCTTATTAATGGAGAGCCAATCATTTGGTAAAGCATTAATCACAGTAAAAGAATTATCAATAAACCTGGTGTGATTTTATGATAATGAGACTTTAATGATAACTGCAGTCAATTTAAAATATGGCTACTCATTCTATAAAGGCCTGCCAATAATATTTATTAACACTTCAGTATCACTGTCATTTCTCCTAATTTTCTGAGTCACTGAAAATCACAAGGCAGCTACTTTAGTTGCTTATTGACAAGCTCTTACAGTCTTTTCAAAGACACCCAATGAATTTGAACAACCTCCTAATGGGGACTTTTGCTATTCTGCAAGTTAAGTTTGACATTCTTCCCTAATATGTGGTGTAGTTGCATATGTTTTTTCACTTGGCTCCAATTAGTATCACTTTTGTTCAGAAAAGGAAAGCCAAGCAATATTTGGGGGAAAAGGTTTCCATTCTATTTCTTTCTTAAATGTGGTTTGTATTAGATGCTGACTGAAGCAAAAATACATGTCAACCCAGGATGTACTTCTTGATTGCTGTTAACTTCAAAACAAATAGTAACAAGAGTCTATAAGTGAAATGCATTTTGATTCTCTCAGAATTATTTGGCTTTCACAAAATTGGGATAATGGCAACACTGATCCCTTTGATATCTATCATGAAACCCAGGTCCTGAATGAAGTGGCACACTCTCCCACACTAAAGCTCTCTGAATAGAGCAAAGGGAAGAGCATTTGGAAAACTCCGAAGCTTTTCTGCCTTCTCAAAGCTTTGAGTCTGTTTAAGTTTAGGCAGGTAGGGTGTGATTCACCATCGTGTTATTAAGGCAGATGAATTACTGAGTTGTGTGGAAAGCCTCATTGCCAGGCTCATTGCAGATGTCTCATCAAGCAACTGGCTTCTGACCCTCTGACACCACCTGGTGCCACAGGAGATCCCAGATGTCCTCAGTATTCACGGGTTAAATGATCTAATGCAGCCATGGAAGAATGAGGGTCCCTTCCCACCAAATGCTGATTTAATGCTTAAATTGATTTGAACACGGAAATCACTGTGTAGAAGCTAACTATGCTTTGCTTTTCTTGCCCCATGACATAGCATTTGAGATGAGGGATACACTGTTCAGATCTATATTTCAGACTGACTTTGCATGCTGTGCCTACATCTCCTCCCAGATTCCACCTCCTAAATTAAATTTCAAAAATAAATTGGATTTCTGTGAACTTGATGAATTTTTTTAATTAATCAAAAAAGGATTTTAAAATGGGAACCCTGAGAATGTGACTATCCAAGTCTTAAATTTGCATCACATTTTCAGGAGTTCTGTTCAGATATAAATATAAATACAGCCAGGAGGTAAATTAATGTAATCTAGGTAGCTAGAAATTTACTTAAATGTCAGCATATTTGTCTTTTCCAGGGACAGTGCTAAGGTTTCAGGCAAAAGAGAGGAATAAAAATTATTGCACCGAATAAGTAGCCTTACTGAAAGGAGTAAAGATTGGAATAAAGTTGGCCATCATCTGCATTTTTACCACACTTCACAGGATGCCAAGAAGATAATCTTAAACACATCTGAGATGCTGAGACACTTCAAGTGTTGGCTATGTGGCAAAGGGGGGATTTTGTTAAGCTGTCTTGGCACGAGAGCTAGCATAAGGATGTGAATTCCCAGGGAGCTGAGACGGGCCCGGCTGGGTTAACGCGCCTACCAGAAGGTCTGCTTTGCAGCCTGGATGACGCTCGCCGTCATCTCCACGTCAATGTAGTCGTAGTGCAGGGCGCCGGGGTCTGTGGAAGACCCAGTTTCAGCCAGCAAAATCCCAATCCATCTGCCCATGTCTTCAGACGATGAAGCCTATAAGGAGAGGGGAAGAGCAGGGGTTAAGTCCTCAATCTGCCACTGAACGTCAACGTCATTTCCAAACTGCGCGCTCTACTTGGGAAAATGCTGCCATATTGTACAAGAAGCCCTGGCTTCCCTCTGCTGCGCTCCTGACTAAAAAACAGGCTTTTCATTAAACTTCCTTTGCTACAAGGAGAACGCTCTGAATAAGCTATGTGGAACTATGTGCAGTTATGGTGTAATACTAACTGGGCAGTCTTGAGAAAAAAAGAAAAAACAACTACACAGGCTAATTTAGAGTCACGTCACACTTAGAAAACGTTAATGCTGTGTTGAAATTAAAAAAAAAAAGAAAATAATGAAATACTAGAAGAAATATTAGTTATTTGAAAAAAAAGTCTCAATATTTTTCTGTTTGATGGTATTTACTTTCCTAATGGAACTTCACAAGTGTGAACAGGATTCCTCTTACAAATGATTTTTGAACTTTCATATTCTACCTCAACTCACTAATTGCAAAGCTGAACAGTAACAAAATAATTAATGGAAAAAATGGGGAGAGCAAAGGAAAGCGTGCGGTTTCTATTCAAATTGATTCTAAATTTTAACTTTCTTTCTTTTTTAATTTTCACCACCCTTCACAGTGCTTTGGATTGCCAGCCAGTGTTTCAGATTCTCTGAAGGGCTCACATGTAACAGGCCCTGTTCTAAGAGACTGACGTGACCTGCGCTTGGAAACCCAGTGTGTTCAAAGTGTCCGTCCTGCCACTGAAAATGAAAGGCTGCCACCTCCTGTAGCTTCATTATACTTGAATTTGAGTGTCTTCTCACTTTAGCTTACCAAATAAAGTGAACAAAGGGGGGAAAAATGATATCCAAGTTTGACAAAGTCTGAAAACGAATATTATTTTTTTCCCAGTATTTTATTTTCACTTTGACTTTTCAGTTACATCTCACCCTTGCATTTGCTGCTGAGAAGTACAAGATGGATAGAGCCACTAACTGCAGCCTTCCAGAGAAAGAAAGACTGTTTTCATATACCAGCTTGTCTATTGCCAGTAGCTGCCATCAGCACTTTGATCTTGGATCCCATCAAAGTTTTTGAGTATTTCCCTGGCTTAGGTTATTAGTTGCCTGGGCTGCATTGGACTGTAACTGTCCTCTGCTCCCCCTCCTCCAGCCATGAGGTTACCGTGCAGGTATTGCAGATGATGTTATGACCTTAGCAGCAGTGAGAGTGTGTTTATGGACAGCTCTTTACCCATGCAGTGTGTGAACAGCTTCAGCAGCTGGCTAGCACATTTTTTTTTACCTTAATACGGACACTGAATGGGAATCCTAGAAGAAAAGTGACTCATATAGATAGGAGACATACATGAGAATTAAGAGCCCAAAGAGTTTTCATCAGCAATGATCCATTAATTAATTACTGTTAAGGTACTTAGCTAAAGCAGATATATTATCCTTGGTATGAGAGTGTGCCTACAGAAGGAGCCCAGATATTTTGGTAGCAGGTCAGGATAGAGAGGCACGGTGGAAACATCTCACGAAAGAAGCTTTCTGAGCTGTGGTGACTTGACCCTAAATCTCAGCTCTTTCTTTGCCTGCAAGTCTAAACTTCTCTCCCTCTCCCTCTCCAAAAATGTAATAATGTAATCTGAAGCTTTTTTGAAAGGCCAAGATGTATGAAACTGCTCCTGTAGGTTAGCTAGCAGATGTCCAGAGGAGGTCTAGTGTTAACAGCCACTGCACCTCGAGCACGGCAACCTCCTGCCCGTTTCGAAGCAGTCGGAAGGTCATGGGATGCTTGGAGTCCAGCCCTGGAATGACCTCGCAGCCACGGAGAGGGATGGAAACTATGTGGGTCTTCAGATCTGTCCTGTCCTTGTGGAAAATGAGCTTATTGTCTTTCACTCTGCACCAGCGCTCACGCCAGCGGTTATTTGAGAGCACGTTGAGGTATCCTGCAATAAAGCGAAACAGGAGATATTTGGTTTTGAGTAACTGTGACTGACCAAAATTTTCTGGGGGAAATCACAGCTGTTGGTATACAATTTGGTGATGAGCTAGTTTCTGTTAACATTCAAAACTGTCTTCTTAAAGACATAATAAATTTCACCCACGCAATGCCAATCCATCCTGCTTTGCTGGGACGAACAGAATAGCACTATCTGTTTCCCATGTTGATTATCCCATTCTAATTTCATTTAGAAAGAAGAATGCATTTTGTACTTGCAACTTTCAAGAGCATTTTTAAAGCAGAAATTAAGTGATTGATGCCAGTGAAAATAAAACAAATACTGTTTTGTAGTACGCAGCATGTATGAACTTCAGCTAAGCTTTAGAACAAAAGCTTTGAATTTACTTTTCTCAGTAATTCAATACCCTAAAACAAATTAAAGTTTCATGAAGAGATTGTCCTTTAAAAAAAGCCTACTCTTCTTATGTTCACAAACACAGTATCTAAGCAAACAATGTCAGTAAATGGGCAGTATTTTTCTTCCTCTGTCCCACAGCAATTATCATCCTGGATTCTAACTTTAAAATCAAGACAATGCACAATTTTGCTGTCTCATTTAGTTTAGGGGAAAAAAGAAAAAGCTTAATTTTGGTTCCCTTTTGCAAGTGGTACATGTGTTCAGTATGTGGATATGACATAATATCTTGCACAGGCCAGAATTTATATAAAATATTAATCTTCATTCTCATGTCTGATTTTATTTAAGCACTTAATCATGTTGGACAGCTATCTCTTTGTTTTTCATTAAAACTATGACTTGTCACCTATTTTTTTCTGAGTTTCTCTTCCAACATTATGGTTCTAATATCAAAGCTTGATCCAACAGGATATGGCAGATCAGAATTGTGCACATCCTAGAAGGTGCCATAAAAAAAAAGAAGAGGATGTGCATAATCCTGTGATTTTGGCTCCTTGTGGTGATCAAATTCTCCAGCCTTCCTCCCTCCTCCTGTAACAAAAACTGCAGAGCTGTGCCATATAACATAACCCTGAGAAACGGAAAAGCTTCATGTGCAAGCCAGCTGGCTTGTTTTGGAGGGATAGTTCCGTTTTCTTTCAGATTATATTTTCTTTTCCTTCTTCTCCCACTGCACCTCTTACAGAGGAGCTCTTCCAGGCCCTCATACTTTATCCAAATTAAGCAAGATCCAATGCTTTCCCTGCTGAATATTCCCACTTAGACGTTCAGTAGCTGACATGCCAACATGTGTCGTGTGTCTTCCTACTTGGGGCCTTCATGGCTCACACTAGCTGGTCAAAGAGAAGTGCTGATGTTGTGAAGAGACCCAGCACACAGGTGGGTTTCCATTTCCATCCTTACTGTGTGTCCCCTGAAGGCCCTGCTGTGCTTTTCCATTTGTTCTTGGGAGGCAGAACATTGAATGAAAAAGCCCTAAACTACGCAGCAACCTCCAGGGCATTGCACTGAGCCAATTTTCTGATCCTGAGAAACTTATTCTGCAAAGGCTTCCTGCAATGACCAAAGCCTACACACTTATATATTTTTCTATAAAATCTGCAAGTAGTGTTGAGTAGAGCCAAGTGCAGACCACAGTAATGGCTATACTTATGCCCAGATCATAGATAATGACAGAAATACTACGAATATGGTTGTACAGCTGAGGTTAGTATCTCACATAATACAGAATAATCAACAGATCATGGGACCCAGGAAGTTTGAGCTTTTATGGAAGCCAGATGCTTCAGAAGATGTATCTGGCTGGAGACAGCTTTTCCCAGCTGTTCTTTTGGTTGATAAATCACATCTGTACTTAGCTGATGTACAGACATGTAAAGGCACACTTATTTAATCAAAGCTTGCCTATGAGAATGATTCCCTAACTGTGGCTTGAGAGCCACCTGTGATCTGTGAAATTCTCGTTGGTGTCCCACGGATCTGCTCTTCTCAAACGGGCATCTACTGTGCCTCAGGCAACCATGTACTGCCAGCTGCTGCCAAATCACAACTTTCTGGAATTCCCATCAATTAAAAGGGAAAAAATAATCCGTGACTTTATTCAGAATCCCGGACAATTGCTTCATAGCTTGATTTCTTTGCCATTTTTTGGATGGTGGATGGGTTAGCAGAAGGGTGGGTCAACCTTGTTCTTATAGAGAAGTGTTTGTTACTACCGGAGTATCATTTCAGGAACTATAAGTAAGTACACTGCTTTATTTGAAAACACCACAGCTGTGACCATACCTGCTACACAGGACACAAAGTCCCAAATAGTTAGCAAACATTAACAGCTAACATACAAAATGTGAGCAAGAAGGTTACCATATTTTCTTGGTAAATCTTGATGTTACCAAGCACTACAGCTGTCTTCTTAAGGAGTGTTTAACACTAGTAGTTGAAATAGCCTACAAGAATTTGGTTTTATGCAAGATATATCACTTCAGGAGTCCAGAACTAATGGGATCATTCTGGCTGAGACTGCTGCCCTGCTATCACGACTGCCATCACCATATATCCTCAGCAAGATTCATCATAAAAGCGTCTCTGTCAACAAGAATTCTTCCCTGTTTTCGGCCTAAGTTTATTCATTTTATATCCATTTATTTGAAAATTATCTTTATGCTTACGTAGCTCTGGTTTCTTTCTGTTGTTGATCCACATTTCTCCTCCC